GGATAAAAATCAAGATGGTAACATGGGCTACATTCTCATCTGAGGGTTGGAGTCATCTTCCAAGCTTCCTGGTTGTTGAGGGAATTTGGTTCCTTGGGCTGTAGAACTGAGTTTTCTTGGTTTTTGTTTGTTTGTTTGCCAGTTATGAACTTGGGGCTGTTCTCAGTTCTCAGAAGCAGCCTGCAGGTTCCCACCATGTTGCTCTCTCCATACCACAGCAGTTTGCTTCTTCAAGTCTAGCAGGACATTTTATCTCACATTTTGTATCTCTCTGACTTTAGGAAGGGCCCAATCCCTAAGGGCTCATCTGGTTAGGCCAGGTCCACCTGTATAATCTCTATTTGACTAACTCAAAGTAAACTGATTTAGTGACCTAATCATGAGTGATACCCCATCATATTCACAAGTTCTGCTGGCGCTTAAGAGGAGAGGGTTATATAAGATAGTGTGTACACCACGGAGAAAGATTCCTAGAAGCAATCTTAGGGTTCCGTCCATAAGAGTGAACACTGCAACCTCTTTCCCTGCGCTTCCCCAATCCTGATTTTGAATGGTTATCAGTCCAGTGGTGAGAAGAGACAAGCATTCATGGAAAAACTTAAGCTCATCAAAAACTGTTTCCACACATGCCCTGCACTATTCCTTTGCTGACATGACAGTCAGAGGGGTCTTTTAAAAGTGATGATTCAAGGAATCCTTTTGCCTTCCCCAAAGATACTCTGAAGAGATTTTTAAAAAGCCAAAGAGAAGGGAGAATCCTAACAGAGGGTCTGCCACATAGACAATGCAGGCTTTAAACCCTGAAATTCTAGTGGAATTTCACTCTAGCTCAACAATGCTCTTCTTGACCACGTAAGCATGGTTTTGAGGAGGAGTTGCGGGAATGAGAGTCTTGCTCCTTCTACCAGAGACCAGTGTTTCTGTCTCTGTGTAACTGGTTTTTATCCAGTTAACAGATGAGTTTCCTGAGGGATGCTGCAGTCCTTATTTGAGGAAGGGGTCTGAAGCCCCTTAGAAAAGCCCTAAAAGCATCTTTTTTTTTTTTTTTTTTTTTTTTTTTTAGACAAAGTCTCACTCTGTCGCCAGGCTGGAGTGTGGCGGTGCGATCTCAGCTCACTGCAACCTCTGCCTCCTGGGTTCAGGCAATTCTTCTGCCTCAGTATCCCGAGTAGCTGGGACTACAAGTGCCCGCCACCACATGCAGCTAATTTTCTGTATTTTTAGTAGAGACAGGGTTTCACCATGTTAGCCAGGATGATCTTGATCTCCTGATCTCGTGATCCGCCATCTAGTTCTGGAAGAGGATAGGGTTGTTCCTAGCAGCACCTTTATGGAACAACCCCATCCTCTTCCAGAACTAGGATGGCCATAGCTCCACCTGGATTTAACTGGATGGCCGCATCAGTCTTTCAAAGATGTTTCTGATTTTCTTCTTGGTATTATATAGAAACAACTTATACTGGTCAGCATGTCATTGCAGTTGTATAAACTATGCAAAAGATAGAAAGGTCAAAATATACATGACCATGTTGTCTACTAAGCTGACCAGACAGGGATCTACAGCCTGTGACTGTGTATGTGTGTGCATACACACATATACATACATATGCATCTGTCTAGGTGTGTGTGTGTGAATATATGAATATAGATATAGATATAGATACCTCCATGGATAATAATTTCTACATTTATTCATCTTACCACATGCTTTAATAGTCAATGTATAAATGACTAAGCTTTCTCTGTAGCAATAAGAAGAAATTATGAAGATGGTTAAAAATGCCAAATGAAACATGACACAGACATAAAGACAGGCTAGGTGTAAGAAAAATTTAAAATAGACCACTTATCAATCCATTTTAGTACTTTAGCAACCACAGTATGTTTCTGTGCTAGAAAACCCTGAATAGTTTTTCAAACTGGATCCTTTGAGCCCTAGCTATCTCAAGGCTAGCTCTCAGTAGTGACAGGTAGATTAAGGAGCTTTTTTGGGAAGCTATATAAAGTTAATTTGGGAGAGGAGGGACGGGGAAGAGATATTCCAGTACCAAAAAGCATTGAAAAATCATGGGCATGGATAAACTCTGAAGTCCTCTTTATGGTAGAAAATTTAGATTCATCACTGACCCCTACAAAGTTACTACTTAATGATCATTGCTACCTAAAGCTTATAACCTGCCTTGAAGACCAAAAGGCACACCCTCCAAAAACCTCTATTAAAAGCCCAGCAACATCAACCACATAATTTCAGATAATTCATCAAAATCCCGTGTTAGCTCTATGATAGAGATACCGATACAAAGTTCGAGTCAGTTTTTAAATTTTAAAAATTCTATGAAGTACACAAAGTCGAAAGCCAAAATTGTTCAAAACCATGTGCCACCGTGATACCCTTCAGAGCCTGTCTCATTATTGCAATGGTGATTGGTCTCTGCGACTGCATGGTACCATGAACATTTGTTACGTGCTTAAACAGTATGGATGAGCATTCTGCAAATCTGTGTTATTATCTGAACCACGTATCATACAAACAGAACTCACACATGCATTTAATTTTTTTAACATCCAAAGAAAGGAAGCATAGCAGTCAAGTATTTTTAAATTAATTAATAATTATATAATTAATATCATATAATTAATAACTATATAATTAATAACTAATTATATTATATAATTAATAACTATAAAACCAATTAAAAAATGAAACCTAGGTCACATTCATAATAGCAGCCAGTGTAGACAGATAGATAACACCAATAAAAAGCCTTCCTCCTACCTTCCCACTAATACTTTGACATCCCTAAAAATAATATCAGAGAAACGGAGACAGGTAGGGGAGGGTTAGAGCACTAATTTCACCACCCAGAGGTAAGTGTTCAAAATAGATATTAAGGGTACAAAAATAGTTAGAAAAAAATGAGTAAGACCTAATATTTGATAGCACAACAGGGTGGCCATAGTCAGTAATAATTCAGTCATACATTTTAAAATAACTAGGAGTATAATTGGATTGTTTGTAACACAAAGGATTAAAGGTTGAGGGGATGGATACCCCATTTTCCATGATGCAATTACTACTCATTGCATGCCTGTGTCAAAACTTCTCATGTACCTCATGCATATTAGACTTACTATGGATCTCCAAAAAGTAAAAATTAAACATTTTAAACATAGATATTGAGTTACACAAGTAAAATTCCTATTATTTTTGCAAATCTGTGTTATGGAAACGATGTTCATACCTGCTCAGAAGCTAAATGAATGAATACAAAACTTAATACAAGCAATGAACTGGCTAACATTTTGAAGATCAGTGACAAATTTATATAGACTATCAGAAATAGGCCGGAAGTGGCGGCTCACACCTGTATTCCCAGCACTTTGGGAGGCTGAGGCGGGTGGATCACCTGAGGTCAGGGGTTTGAGACCACCCTCACCAACATGGTACAACCCCGTCTCTACTAAAAATACAATAATTAGTCGGGTGTGGTGGTGCAAGGCTGTAATCCCAGCTACTTGGGAGGCTGAGGAAGAATAGCTTGAACCTGGGAGGCGGAGGTTGCAGTGAGCTGAGATTGTGCCATTGCACTCCAGCCTGGGCAACATGAGTGAAACTCTGTCTCAAAAAAGAAAAAAGTAAAGAAAGAAAGAAAGAAAAAAATACTGGTTGAGGTAGGTATATATCTTAAAATCCAAGACTATACATATGCAAATATATTTACATTTTTATATGCAAATATATCACAGGATATATTCGAAAGCCATTTTGAAAAGAAGTGTTGGCTTATCTTTGAAATAAGGTTATTATTACTATTTTGAGACAAGGTCTCACTCTGTCACCCAGGCTGGAGTACAGTGGTACAATCACAGCTCACTGAAGCCTTGATCTCCCTGGGCTCAAGTGATCCTCCCACTTCAGCCACCTGAGTAGCTGGAGCTACAGGAACACGCCACCACACCTGGTTAATTTTTTTAATTTTTGTAGAAACAGTCTTGCTATGTTGCCCAGGCTGGTAGCAAACTCCTAGGTTCAGCTATCCTCCCGCCTTAGCCTCCCAAAGTGCTTGGGTTACAGGTGTGAATCACCATGCCAGGCGGAAATAAGATAATTATACAATTTTTATCAGCTATTGTTTTTTTTATATGCTCCAGAGTAACACTATCCAATAGAACTTTCTGTGGTGAGAGAAATATTCGCTCTCTGCATTGTCCAGTAGGGGCATCCCTGGCAACCTGTGGGAACTGAGCCCTCCAAATGGTGACCAGCATGACTAAGAAACTCAATTCTTAACTTTTTAAAATTTAGGCCGGGTACGGTGGCTCATGCCTGTAATCCCAGCACTTTGGGGGACTGAGGTGGGTGGATCACCTGAGGTCAGCAGTTTGAGATCAGCCTGGTCAACAGGGTGAAACCCTGTCTCTACTAAAAATACAAAAATTAGCTGGGCATGGTGGCGAACGCCTGCAATCCTAGCTACTTGGGAGGCTGAGGCAGGAGAATCACTTGAATATGGGAGGCAGAGGTTGCAGTGAGCCGAGATCACACCACCACACTCTGGCCCAGGCGACAAGAGCAAAACTCCATCTCAAAAAAAAAAAAAATCAAACTAATTTAAATACAAAACAGCCCTGTGTGGCCAAGGCCACCTAACTGGGAGCACATCGCATCTCAGAGGAGTAAATGTCTTCCTTGCTTCACCAACACCCTACATCTTTTTTTTTTTTTTTTTGAATACAGTCTCGCACTGTTACCTGGGCTGGGGTGCAGTGGTGTGATCTCGGTTCACTGCAACCTCCGCCTCCCACGTTCAAGCAATTCTCCTGCCCCAGCCTCTCAAATAGCTGGGACTACAGGCGTGTGCCACCACACCCGGCTAATTTTTTGTATTTTTTAGTATAGATGGGGTTTCGTCACATTGGTCAGGCTGGTCTCGAACTCCTGCAGAACCTCCGCAGAGTTGCGGCAAACTTAAAAACAACACAAAACATAGCAGACTTACCGTCGCCAACATCAAAGTCCTTGAAAGCCAGTTCTGAACCTGAATCATCAAGAAGGATTTCACCGTTCAGTGTGAACATCATGGTGTGTTCGTTCATGTCAACCATACAGCCCACGACATCGCCTGCTTGCCAAGAGCGCCCATAGTGTTCGTTGCCCTGATGCCACCGCTGGGCCTATACAGAGGACAGAAAAGTCCCTTGTCACAGACTAAGACAGGAAAATAGCACCCACCCACCACTCTGTCACTACTTAACAGCAGCGCCTTCTATTAACACAACAGCAGGAGAAACTGCAGCTGGCATATCTGTCTACTGCAATGTCCTAAGCAAAATGGAACTGTCTGGGAATTCTAAATTCCTACCTAATATTAACATGGTATATTATTGAATCTTGAAAAAAAAAATCCAAAAGCTATTTCATGATTTTGAGAGCCCATTATTTTAAAAATCTAATCTCACGTACTTTCTGCTGAAAGAAAACTTATATGCCTTTAGAATATATTATTTTTCTGCGACAATGAATGTTTCCCAGAATATGGTTTGTTTTTCTCTCCTCCCACAAATACAAATAATTATGAGCTAGGGAATCAAGCTGGGCATCTGTCATTGAAAATGATAGTGTAATTTTCATCTATTTCAAAATAAAATTTCATTCCTTAGAACCGATGGCACAGATATTTCAACAAAATGGAAATCTAGAAGCATTTCAGTGACATACTAAAAGTAAAAACGCTTCAAATCAAACCTAAAAATATCCTTAGGATATCTGCTGAAGTAACAAGCCAAAAATTGAATATAGATGCCAACCTTTTCTTCTATATACATAAAGTGAAATCTCATATTGTAAGTACATTTGAAACACAGTTTTGATAAATGTGACTTTTGGATCTACAAGCATATTCCATTGATTTATAGGTACACCTGAGTTATGTGAATTATTTTGTCAGATAAATCTTTTGACTTTTTCTTAAGCCTCACCTGCACTGTGAATTGGTATGTTACCGGACAGAGTCGCCAATGCAGAATGATGACATAATTCCTCTCAATATAACACACTGTCTTTTTTAAAAAGTTTACATCAGGTATCAAAAGGCATAAAATGCCCAACCCACTTACCTGGCTGTAGTGTTCGCCTTCCAACCCCACCCACCCCATGCCTGTTCCCAAATCGGGAGTAGCCTTTCTTGCCTATAATTTGATTGGGAGTAAAGGTTATTTTAACTTTCCTCAGGATACTTCCCACTCTGGTTCATTACATCTGATCTTCAGGAGATGTAAACCTAAAGCTACCTTTTATCTGTTATTTTATTTTTTTAAGTTTAAAGTTTGCTAATTTTGACCCCCCCCAAAAAAAGTGTTAAAATTTTCTATTTGAAATTTAAAAAAAAAACTGGATTCAGGAAATGTGATGTTTCAGAACTAAGTGGGTCAACTGCCCTAATTTCAAGCCTGGAAAGGCTTTCCTCACAGGACATTTCACACCAAGAAATATCCAAATGTCAAATCTCTTCATGATTGCTTATTTATTCCAATTTTATTTTTCTTAGTTAAAAAGTAGCTTTTCCCCCCTCATGTGAAAAGGAATATAAATTCACTTAAAAAATAAAAAATAAAAACAAGACTTTAAAAAATCTATGATTTTACCAATCAAAAGTGACTATTATTATCCTATTGTGGCTATAATCATATACACACTGTTATTGTTATTTTTTTGTTTGTTTTGAGACAAGGTCTCACTCTCTTGCCCAGGCTGGAGTGCAGTGGTATGATCATGGCTCACTGCAGCCTCGACCTCCCGAGCTCAAGCAATCCTCTCACCTCAGCCTCCTAAGTATTGGGTGAAACTCTGTCTCAAAAAAAAAAAAAAAACAAAAAACAAAAAAACCATGCTTGGCTAATTTAAAATTTTTTTTGTAGAGATAGGATCTTACTTTGTTGCCCAAGCTGGTCTTGCACTCCTAGCCTCAAGCTATCCCTCTGCCTCAGCCTCCCAAAGTGCTGGGATTACAGGCACCTGGCCCATATTACTAATCAAAATATTTTACATATGTAAAACAATCTTTAAACATTTATAAATATATAACAAAATAAACACCTGACCAGCTTCCATCCAACTTAATAGAAATTACTAATAATGTTGAAAATGAAAACCATTTGTGATTATAAACAACACTGCTTTAAGCATTGTAGCTATTAAATGTTTCTACAAACATATCATTAATTATAGCTTAAACTCCTGACATGGAATCGCTGTATCAATGTATATGCATTTTTCCTCTATATATGTATCTTTAACATTTTGATAGACAAAGATGATTTATCTTTTGACAACCATGGAAAAGCAATGTCTTACTTGGTGAATTTCACCGTATTCATGTGTTGTGGGGAAGGGTTTTGAGATTATGAGGACAAAAGCTTTCCTATGAAATATTTTTTCCATGTTTGTGCTGTGGAAAATACTGGTATTGTGATGCTACCAAGAGGAACAGCAGAGGAGACAAGCCTCCAGCATGTACAGATGACTGGTACAGGGCAAAGCCCACTCACCTTGAAGCCATCAAAGGCAAAGGCACGTTCATCCGAGCCGAGCTCCTGATCCGGTTGACAACCAGGCCGACTCCAACCAACTCTCATGTCTCCAGCAGTGACCGTCTCAAATTCAAAATACCACCGTCCCGCCTTCACTGCGTAAGTCTTCTCGGCACGGAAGATTCGGAACCTTTCCCCAGTGCCGCTGCACACTTCGGCTCTGGCTGCTGGGAAATGGACAGAGATTTCTGGTGGTCATTGCATGGGGAAGTGAAAGAGAAGGAAAGATAACATAAATAACAGAAGGAAAGATACATCATGACTTTAGTATTTCAACCTTCTGGGATGATGATAATGATACCTTCTTATCTTCTTTCCCATTTTACCAAGTGCTTTCTTATCTAGGATCAGCCACTGTCAGACCAGCTGGGTGAAGTGGAAGGCGCCAGGGCTTGCACTGAGAGACTGGGGAATGAGCCTCAGTAATGCTGCCAGGGTTGGTGGCGTTCCCTCCGTCAGCCTCATTTTCAGGAGGGAACGACCTTTCTGTAGAACAAAACCCAAAAGTGCCTTGGTGCTTTGGTTGTGGAGGAAGAGATGGCAAGAAGACAATAAGAAAAAAGATCTGAACTGCTCTGCATAAGAAATGAATAGACATTTATGGGTGAGAGAGAAGAGGGAAGATGAAGCAAGGAAGAGAAGAGAAACAGAAATAAGGGAAAGTTGTAAACAGTGGAGAAAAGTAACAATAGTATCAATAGTAAAAATTTCCCTACAGGTTGGTGATGGCTAAGGAACTCAAATGTGATGCAAAATTTTTCCATTCTCGCGTACATCTTCACTGTGATCTGCTATACACACAAATGCTGTATTTAAAAGATCTGGGGAAAATAATAAAAAGGTCAGCATCCAACATTAGGACCAGTATGACGCAAAAGGGGGCAAAGTATCTGCAGGAAATGAGATGCAGGTGAGACTGAGAGACAGAGGGGGAAGCCTCAGACTGAGGAACCCAGAGCCAGAATGACGATGAGAAGGTAGGTCCCTCTGGAATCACAGGAGAGAGGAAGGAGTGTTCATTGAATTGATATCTCAAAGAAGGTGGTCACCTCAGCTAAGATCTGAGTTAGATGCAGAGGAGGAAAGTGCAGACTTGACCAACATCACACAACTAAAAATGGTAGAATTCGGGAGCTGCTTCATGTTACAGCCCCTCTTCTTCCTACTTTGCCTCCAATAGCTGGCACAGAGTTACTAGATACTGGTTAAATGCTAGTTCTCAGCCAAGTATGGTGGCTCACAGCTGTAGTCCCACACTTTGGAAGGCCAAGGTGGGAGGATCGCTTGAGCCCAGGATTTTGAGACCTGCCTAGGCAACATAGTGGGACCCTGTCTCTATAAAGAGTTTAAAAATTCGGCCAGATATGGTAGTGCATGCCTGTAAGTCCAAGCTCCTCAAGAGGCTGATATGGAAGGATCACCTGAGCCTGGAAGGTCGAGGCTGCAGTGAGCTATGTTCATGCTACTGCACTCCAGCCTGAGTGACAGAATGAGATCCTGTCTTGAAAAAAAACAAAACAAAACAAAACATAACAAAGAAAGAAAGACAGAAACAAGTTCCTATTTGTCTCTCCTTAAGATTTGGGAAAGACCTTATGCATAACAAAAATTTAATAACAGTTCAATCATTGACTTGGCATGATCAAATTAGAACTATAAAAATAATCTATATAGGCCAGGCACGGTGGCTCACGCCTGTAATCCCAGCACTTTGGGAAGCCGAGGTGGGCGGATCACGAGGTCAGGAGATCGAGACCATCCTGGCTAATGCGCTGTAACCTCCTCTCTACTAAAAGTACAAAAAATTAGCCGGGCATGGTGCAGGTGCCTGTAGTCCCAGCTACTCCGGAGGCTGAGGCAGGAGAATGGTGTGAACCCGGGAGGCGGGGCTTGCAGCGAGCCGAGATCGCGCCACAGCCTGGGCAACAGTGCATGACTCCATCTCAAAAAAAAAAAAAAAAATTAATCTATATAAACACTAAAGGTTGCCAATACACATACAGCTAGGTCATATGTAACAATTTAAAATTAGATTTTTAGTGAAGACAACACGTCTGTAGTATGAGATGGCTCCCTATCACATGGGCTTAATTAATGAAATGATCAATAACGGCTTTTTGATAATGGTGGTGGTGATTGTTGAATGTAGAACTAACTGAACCTGCTGGCTAACCCTTCAGAAACTAGCTTAAGTCTCTGAATAAGAGAGAGAAACATCTCTGTGGTTAAGGGTAAGTTCTCATGCCTATTACTTAGTAACTAAATATGTTTTGAAAAACAGGATTGTAAACTTTGTCTTAAGAGAAAAAAAAATTCTATCAATTTTATGATATTTAAAGGTAGTTTGTGCTATTAAAAAAAACTAAAAAAAGCCACTGGGCGAGGTGGCTCACACATGTTATCCCAACACTGTGGGAGGCTGAGGCAGGCAAATCACTTGAAGTCAGGAGTTCGAGACCAGCCTGGCCAACATGGTGAAACCACATCTCTACAAAAAATACAAAAATTAGCAGGGTGTGGTGGCATGTGCCTGTAATGCCAGCTACTTGGGAGGCTGAGCAGGAGAATCACTTGAGCCCGGGAGGCAGAGGTTGCAGTGAGTCAATATCGTGCAACTACACTCTAGCCTGGGGAACAGAGCAAGACTGTGTCATAAAAAAAAAAAAAAAAAAAAAGAAAGAAAGAAAAAGAAAAAAAGAAACTACTTCTCAGTGCTGCAACACTAAATAAACAGGAAAGTCAAATTTTTATTCAGAGTTAATATTTCCTCAAAAACAGATTACTGCTAAATTGTTTCCTTAAAACATGCCTGTACCCTTCCCTAAATGAATCTAAGAGATATTAAATAAGAGCTATAAATTACCCAAACATTTGGAAATTATTTTTCACAAATTGCACACCTTGTAGCATCAAGCACCTGAGCCACAAAGTAAGTGCTCCATATATACCTGCCAAACTGTATCTAGAAACAAAGACTCTTCTGGGCTCCGGATATAGGAGCCCAGACAAATACCCAGACAGGGGAGCATCCTGTCAAAGACACAGAACCCTCCCCCAAACACCCTTATGCTTCGCTCCATTTTAAACATGATAGATTTATATGTTTGGTAGGCAATCACAGCTCATGTAAGTGTGTTATACAAGTAATTTTTATCCTGTTATAATGAATATAATAATAATGGACATTTAAAAATGAATAGTTGGGAGATATAATCCTGTCATACATTATGAAGTCTGTTGGTATTCAAAGTAGAAACAATTCAGGAATTATATTATTAACAAACACCTCAAGATTAAGGCCAACGACTGAGAAAAGTCCCAGTACCTCTCAGGCATGACACACCACCAATGACCTAACTAGGGCCTAAAAAGGCCTAAAGTAACCATACACTCTGCTCTCCAAACAAGACAGCTAAAAAAATATATGCCACTAGAGGGCAGTCAAGATCTAACTATACATTAAAATCATAAGTTACAAGAAGATATAAGGAAAAGCTAAAATTTTATACATATCTAGAATCTTTTAGGACTAATGATAATACTTTTTTAAATTATTGGTATTAATCAGCCATCCTTTCAACCTTCTGGTATTATTTTGGATAAAGCAATTCAAATCTTGATTAAACCTTGTAGTAAATAAGAATAAATTCCATTTTCACATGCTTTAAAATATTATTGACAGCAATACTCCAAAGATACTACAACTGAAATACAGAGTTCACATTTTATCTGCAATACGTAAGCATTCTCCTAAGAGAAAATAAATTATAATTCTGATTAATTACATAAGGCTTGATTCAACTTTTTATGCCCTTGACTTTTTTTAAATGTCAGCAACAGCAGTATAGACTATTTTAAATTAATGTTTTTAATCTCATCTTAGTGATAATCAGACTGATTTTGCTTTATGCTATAAAATCTCTCAACATCTATCTTTTATTTTTTATTCCCACCATCCTTGTTCAAAAAAACAATTTTTCTAAAGCCTCCCAACTGGTCTATCTCCAAGCACTGCCCCCTCCAATCTGTCCCTTCCCACTGTTGCCATAGTTATATTGCTATTGTAAACTGTTATCACACATCAAGCTCTTGCTTTAAAACTTCCTGGGGCTGGTACTCTTTATACAAATTTAACCATATTTCTTAGCTGAGTTTGCAAGATATTCCATATTTTGTCCTAATCCTTCTATCTTCATCTATGTCTGTTGTTCTCTCTCCCATCTGTACCCTATATTTTATCCTAAGTGGACCATCTACCCTTCCTCAACTCTTTCTATACTTAACCACATCAGATGTACTTTCTTTCTAGTACCAATAGCCTTTCTGACACTAATCTCTACTTGTTGAAATTTTGATCCTTTCAACATCTAACTCTGAAGACATTTTCTCCCTTTACTGATTCCCGATCCTTTCAACATCTGAAGATGTGTCTCCCTTTACTGATTCCTCCCATTGGAAAATTAATCTTTCTTCTTATGTCTTTTCCATACAGATCACCTGCGTCCTTACTATGAAGCATGCTGTTAAATTCTGGCATAGGGTGAACAATAAACCTAATCTCAGCTTCTACTGTAGAATATGCCACTCTATTCTCGTTGCTCACTGTTCACATAACTTTAGTAAAATCAAACCTTGTCAAACAACTGTCAGTGGCTCTGTCTCTAAATTCTTAAAATACAGAGATCGTGTGATCCCTATTTTTTCCTCCTTGTCTTCTCATTTTCTTATACATTCACTCTTCAAACTCATTAGATTCCTTCATTCTTCCCTTCCTTACCTGTATAACTTTCCATACTTTCTTGCCCTTATTAGCTTTTCCCCTACTTGCTCTGTTAACCCCAATTACTGTCCAATTTCGCTACCTTCACTGAGAACATCTGTACTTGCTCTGCTGAGTTTGCCAGAAAACACATGCACAGAATAGACTGGCACCACCAACTCACAGGCTCTAACCTCAATGGGACCATCAATGTTTCTCCACAATGTGTTTATCTGTTTGCAGCTTGCTCTCTGTTCCATCCCACAAAACAGCAATTTTTAATCTTTATTGCTGAGTAACATCAGCAGAAATGGTAGAGAAAGAACGTCCAAAAATTCTCTTCTCCACAAAATTAATGAGAACACTGGCAAAAAAGTTATGCAAATGAAATTTTTCACAGCTCCGGAA